CGGCATGAGAAGCGACATGGAAAAATAAACACTGAGAAGGAAAGCTGGAAAACTTCATTGATGTGATGCACTTCATTGATGTCTTCTGGCTCCAAATGGATGGATGATTTATAGGTTAAGGTCATAACTGATAATGAAAATTGAAAGAATGACAGAATAAAAGGGATGCAACGCTGATTTGAAAATCAGTAGTTTTCGGAGATCGTTGAAATGTGCTAATAGTATTACAGTCATTATTACTGTTGTTACCTCAACAACAGTATTACTGTTGTTGAGGCCTAATCAAACTTAAAAATACTCAGAAAATAGGATAAAGACGAGCGTTACCATGAGCGAACCGCGTTTAGATATCCGATTGAAAAACACACCATCACAGTGACGTTTCATCGTAACAAAACACCACCAAATATTAGTTTCTCTCAATCAGTCCCCAGTGTTCATGATGAGAGGCGACGTCAGCCAATATATTGAAGAATTTACGAAACATTTGTGACTGAACAGACTTTTGTTTAGGCTCGGGTGAGCTTATGATATTCAAAAAATAGGAGAAAAAAGAGTGCAGCCATGAATTAATCCCATTTGCATACCTAAGCGATAAAATACCATCACAATGACGTTCTATTATATCACAACCTAACATTTGCACGAAATACTAGTTTCCTGACCCCCTCCGTTACCCCCACGAAACCCGTAAATTGCCCAATATGGGCAATTTCACCCCGTATGAGAACCACTGCTTTATCCCAACAACTGCAAGCGTTATTTGCTATTTCTATCATCGCCAAAAAATAGCAGTGCGTTATCGCTATTCAGCTAATTAAGCAAAATTAGTTCGCTATTCGCTATCACTATTTTGGAATTTTCGCTGAAAATTTGCAATTGCACCACATATTTGTATGGAGAAAACCCCATCGCGACATCAAAATTTTTATTGAATCATTCAGTAACAGTCAGTAATCATCAGTCAATAATAATCACCGGTCAATAGGCATCAAAAAATCACCGGTCATTATTAAGCATCAGTTTGTTAATTATATCAAAATTCGCGCGCAGTTCGATGTACGGATTAGTGCGCTAATGCCCATTTCTGGCTGATACAAATCATCTATGATTATTGTCCTTTTGAAAACTTATTCGCTATATGTCAAAGCTTTAACTGGTTAGAGTTTCTTGGACCGAACGATACTTATGTTAGCATAAATAGACAGAAATTCGCATTGGTAGATCTACTGAAAGGTTTCAATAGTGATCCCGCCGATGGGGTCCTTGGTCTTGCCTTCGCTATATCGGCTAGCAAACATTTGACACCACCATTCCTGAACGGAGTACCACAAAATGTTTTTGACCAGCCGATCACGACCATTTGGATGAAAAGACATGTAGGTTCTCATCAGTGTCAACCTTTTTACCATCTGTTACACCTTGCTTGCCACTGGTGTGACCGGCGAATTTATTCACTGGCAAAAAAAAATCGAAATTATTCACCGAGTTATGATGTTCGAGTTACGAGTTGAGCATTCCCGATGATCCAAACATCGTATTTTCACAAATAATTCGTGTCCCTAGTGAGTTCCATAGAGTAGATCCTTCATTCTAAAAATGTAAGAAAATCACACCTCGTTTTCCTAATCTTTGATAATCACTGAGATGATATTTGTGAACGTATTGACACAAACAGGTTCCACTTAAACTATTGCAAGTCACAGTTAATATCGTATGAATCACCCACATTCATACAGTGACATCAATGACTAATGAGTGGAGAATGGGCTATGAATTTGAAGGAACCGCAAAAGAATGTATTCGGTGGTTACGCAGTGTTGGGGGGCTACGACGATGAGAAATGTGGTGCTATAATGTGATATAAGCAATTATCCTCGTCGCGCGATTGGCAGTTCCGAATGGAAAAAGTAGCCATAAACGATTACAGCTACGGGTTGGGTTGGGAAGTGGTCGCTGATACGGGCACTTCCCTCATTTTGGGACCACCACATGTTATTGAGGAAATGGTTAATGCGATCGGTGGTGAGGTTAGTAACGAGCAAATGATTTATGTCCGATCGTCTTTGCACCTGGCTCACAGGTGGATTACAAGAAATGAGGACTTTGTCTTTATAGGGCAGTGACTTTTCAGGGCATTCAAAATAGTAAGGATACATCGCCTTGCTGACGCGTTTAATGTTTTTCGTCTTACACTTTATTTGCTGTAACGGCCAACAGTGATGTCAGTGAATTACTGTGATTTTTTACTGAACCAGGAGTTTTACCGGTAAAGATAAACTTGTTCACCAAACGACTTCGAATAAGCACAATATCACATCGATTTTTCAAAAGAGAATATTGACTTAGTAGTGCAACAGGAATTTTGGAAACACGATGACAATAAACTCAACTCTATCGCTCGCTCTTCTAGAGGAAATTCTGTTATCCATGTGAGCCACCGACTCGATGTTGTAAAGGAACTTTGATGAGGTAGAAGAATTTTGCTTGCATAATATTGATCATTATGATGATAATTATTATATCGAATGTGATTTGATGGACAAGTTACCACCAATTCACTTCGCTGTTCGTGATACGTCAATTGTGATCCACCCGCAAAATTACGTTACTCACATGACATGGGTAAGTGATGTCACATTTTACTTTCGCTCTCATTCAAGTGAACATATAAGGAACGCTGGTGAAATAGAAGGAATGTTCCGATTAGGGTGTCTGTCAAAAATACAAAAATAGACGGTAGTGATACTTGCTCATTTGTCTCTCAGTTTTTTTATGATTGATTAATGTTGATAAGTTGTATAAATATGGATGGATATCACAAATTTGAAGCTCTTCATTATGTTCCAGGATACTGAGGCTTGCCTACTTGCGCTCGGTGTAACGGGCACAAGTAGTTATGATCCAGCGTGGATATTTGGTAATCCACTTTATCGTGCACTATGTGTCATTCATGATGCTGGCCAGCAGAGAATCGGATTCGCTCCTTTCAAATAACCGTAATTGTTATAGCGAATGTTGATAATCCACCATAACTTCCGATGGATATATAACGACTACGAAATGAACTATTTTATGTATACGTATCATATTTTCGTTGTTCTAGTTTACTGCATTCAAGATGTACTGTAACGTGTCATCGCTCAGTTGGAATTGTATCACTTTACGCTCATAGTGTTATTCTGTTCCATTTCTGAAATACATATAGTATATATCTAAGAAACGTTCAAATTAACTTCATACTTCATCATCTCGTTGTTTTGGTAATGTAGGGGACAGTATTTCTGGTTTGCAAGCCGCACTAGATCAGCGGTGATTTAACGCAAATGAAGTGAACAAAAGGATATTGAGTGTAACACATGTCAAAAAACCCCTTATTACCCAGCGATCTTCGTTTTTAAGTCGTTTGTGTGTTCCTGCTTAGGCAACACTTTTTTCACATTCACTCCCGGGCGGCAGCGTTGCGATGCATCACAGCACTGAAACTGACCACATTGAAGCAATTTTTTTCCGGACCCAGTTTTTGTGCTCCTTTATAGAAGACCATGTTTATATGTTCTGTTCGGGGAGAGGAAGTACTGGCGAAAGGGCTATAAAAAGAGGGTTTAAAAGCTGAAACCTATAAAAAGATTCATGATTGAGTGTAATCCATAACAACGATGGTAGGGAGTCAATAACATCATTGTCGATACGGTGACATTTTAAAAATATTGACTTTTAGATGGAAGAACATTTTTAGGAGTAAAGAAATGAAGGCATCGAAAAACCTATGGTTTAGCCGAAACTAGCCATGAACGATGCTTTGAAATGTATCTGTCGTTTTGAATATCATAAATGTCGTTGTTTACGTTTTCACAGCCCACTTATCATGATCATGGATTAATTGGGAAGATACCAGAGTTCCTCAGGGAACTTCATGAATTTCAACTGTGTGTGAAGTTATTCTTGCATACATGATTTATTGTCCATGCATGATTTATTGTCCATGCTGTCAGTACACGTTCATTTTGGTCATTTTTGAAAGGAGAGATACCACCACGGCACATCAGGGAACTTCGAGGTTGGATCGCCATTTCAACGAATCTGTCGCCTTCTCAGCCCCGCTCACACCTCTCGCTTCTAATTCTCATGAAAACCGTTTAAAAAGATCAATACGTTTATTGTGGAGTGATCATTTTGATGTGATTCACTTGAGAATTTTCATGTCGAAATGATTTTTACTTTGATAATACGCAAATTGTTTGCTTGTTTGCTGATACACAAAATTATTGTGCTGAGCGCATCATTCCACGACATAGATCTCACTCTTCGTTATCAGTAAAGCAATTCATCGTATCAAAGGAATGATATCAAATTTTGTCAACGAAAAGATGTTTTGATGATATATTTACGATGAGAATGAAGTTTGTTTTCCCAACACCCTGGTGAAAGGCTGAAAGATGCTGCAAATTATGGTGGAACAGTGTGCATACAATTCAACTTTACATTTCATTGATTCAATCTAAACTTTGTGTTTCAAAATAATCTTAGATCATAGTACATACTACCGCATAATTCAACGCAAAATGTTTTTTGCTGCTAACCAACCAGTAAAAAATTAATCACGATGATATTACATTGGGCACGAATTTGCAATGTATTCGTACCTTACAATCGAGCGCTCTCAAATGGATTCAAAACAAACACGCCTGAATCAGGTCCTTCGCAGTTGAGAAAAAATAATTATCATAAATGGACTAATATTTTCAAATTTAGTCATTCCTTCTTCTAAGGCAAAAAATGATTGAGGGCTGAAAATGATGGACAAAATGAGGATAGACATTAGCTTTATAAACCGTTACATAGATATAGGCTACTTTAATTTATTATCTGTTTATCATATACTTACGAGTGTAACCGAGTCAAGCATCTCATTCTCAAGACATAAAGTCTAATTCTAAAGAATTTGAAATATAGCGCAAACAAAGTATTTGATATCTTCAATTCAAATCCTACAGGCAAAAGATTCCCACGAGCAAAGGCTAATCGACAACAAAATATTACAAGAAAGTACATTCAATGAATTACTGGATGGATGCGAACCGCAGGTATTTAAGGATGGAACGCTGAAGGTCGTGGATCCGGATTCATATTGGAACGTACATGGTTTGTATCGTCGACGTCATAATCGATGGAATAAGTCAATCGTCATTGTGATATTGTGAAAGTCATTCATGTTGTGAGACTATTGTAATTGCTGCTGATTACTGTGAACCGAATATTGTATGAAGATATTGTAGGCCAAGTTGGGCAATTGCTGTTATTGTCAAGAATAATATTGAGAGCTGAGTATTAAAAATAATATTAAGCATCCACCGCATATCCACCGCACCCATATTTTTACTCGAGCAATGACACCGACGCATTGCGGAAATGCACTCTTCATCGCAACGAAGTACAAAATACACTTCAATACTGTGGTTCTTCTGGGCAGTGAAGCATGTTTATTGCAGCGAAAAAACAAACACATTTTATTGTTATTGATTTGCATCTGCGATTAAATCAAATATTAATAAATGTGTTCGTTTATATGAACGATTGTTATTTGGAACGTTGTCTTAAGCAAGCATTTTAACGTGAATTGTATTCTTCACCATCAGCAAAAGCCTAATACTACAGAATTTTGTAGAAGGATTGTCACTTTGATGGTGTGTTCCTGACATGATGATTCTCTCGATAGGTGATTTCGTTTATATTCTTCGCATCGTATTCAACCATATTCAATGGAAAGTTTGCATCACAATCGCGTAGAAATGTTCTGTGGAGAGGATGCATTTTAACGATGTTTTTTATCCACAGATGAAGTCGCCAACAAAGTCTTGCTCAGTCATTCATGTCTGTATTTATTTTCCTCAAATTGAGCAAATGCAGAATGCGTTGCTGACTGTGAGATAACGAATGAATATGTGGAAATGATAGCATGGAAGCGATCTCTCGAGGATATTTTGTTGAAAATGAGGCGGCCGTCGCTTACAGTCCACAGTAGTGACAGCAACACTCCCTAAAACATACAAACACCAGCGAAAATTTGAATTACGATGAACTTCTTGATTTCAGAAGCATTCATTGGTGCCCAGTTTGTCTACGGCATTTCACAACCATGTCCATTCGTCCATTTTGATATTTCTTTTAGAATAATTTGCTAAAGCAATAGCAAAATCGGCGGTTCAACGGTGTCAACTCTACGAACGGGCAAATGTATCCGGTCACTTTTTTCGTTGAACATTTCGAGGTTTTTTGATGTATGAAATGAAATATATTTGGTATCAATCAGTATGCAAATCGTTTCATGAGGGACGTTTTAGAAATGCGTTTGCGACACGATCATTGATGTTTGTTTTCTCGTAACGATAATGTTCGTTATTGCAGAGGATTATATCTATGTCATGGAATGGAATGCCCACGAACATGAGCGATGACAACAGAATCTGACTGGGCTCAGTTCCTTATCTATTCGTTTCTGTCAATAAATGCGAGTAACAAGAGTGATGCAATATCGAGAGTGCAATGAAATTCTGTATGATAAGGAAAATGGAGAGATAAGCAGTGATATGAAAAGCTAGAAAAGTTAAGTGATGTCATGTAAATTAATGGAAATATTTCTCTCAGTGCCCTAAGTAGATGAACATACAGGTTAATGTCAATAAAAATTGTAAGAGTGACAGTATAAAACGAATGCAACGTTGGGTTGAAAATCAGTAGAGTTTTTTGGAGATCGTTGAGATGAGGAATGTGCTAATAATATTACTGTTATTTGTATCACTAGCAATCGCTGCTGTCACACGCGTACCCCTCACTAGGATTCAATCGAAACGTGAACGCTTAATGAGCCAAGGCAAATGGGGCGAATATCAGAGAGCCAAAAATGTTCGTCGTCTCGAAATTGCGAGGCGAATGCAGTCAAAGGATGTGGTTGCAGAACGCGTTAGTGGACACTTAAATTTTTATTCAAACGTTGTTGTTGTTTTTTATAAGTAAAGGGTAGCGAAGACGAAATTATTTGACTCTTATTTCTTAATGTTAATGCTACCAGTAATAGAAGTGGTAATGGCAACCTAAATTCATTTAATAATGGTAATCGTTTAAACAGCCATTGGAGTAAGATTGATAAGAACAGTACCAACTGTCATTATTTGAAACAAATGTTTTATAACAGAATCAATGATAAAACTTGATAATTCAAATTAAAGAAAAGCGAATGATTGAAAATTTATTCAGTTGAACGATTATGACGACCTTCAGTATGTGAGCAAATTTGCGATTGGTACACCCCCGCAGGAATTTAACTTGGTTATGGACACTGGATCATCAGATTTATGGGTAGCGGGAGCTACTTGTTTAAGCACGAGTTGTAGAACGAAGAACCTTTATAATAGTAAACAATCGAGTACGTTTGAAAGTACTGATGGTCGGTTCAGAACTGGGTATGGTGACGGATCAGGAGCGTCAGGATCGATTGCAAAAGATACTGTCCATGTTAGTTCACTATAGGTAATTCTGCGATAATGTTGATTAGGTGCTGCTGATTTCAGTGATGAGGAAATGCTGCATGTCGTCACACTTGTGATTGTTGTCCTGTGGACAATTTATTCGGTGCTTGTCAAAGCTGTAACTGCTTACAGTTTCTTGGACCGAACGGTACTTTGGTTAGTGTAAGAGAACAGGAATTTGGAGTGGCGGATTCACTGAATGGTTTCGATGATGACACCGTCGATGGGATCCTTGGTCTTGGCTTCGCTGTACTGGCAAACACACATGCGACACCACCATTTCTGAAAGGAGTTCAACAACATGCTTTTGACAAGCCGATCATGACCATTTGGATGAAAACTGATGTATGTTCTCACCATTGTCAATCTTCTCACCATCTCTTCTACTTTTCTTGCCACTAGTAAATTCAGGGACTCTATTGACGGACAAAATAATCAAACTTCTCTAGTGAGTTATGAAATTTCAAGAGTCAAGCATTCCTAACGAAATAGACATCGTATTTTCACGAACAATTACGGTCCCCAATAAGTCTCCATTAAGTGGATCCTTCATTCTAAGAACGTCAGAAACTCAAATCATTTTAAGTGCTTAAGGTTTGGTTTCCATGATGCACTGAGGTGATATTTCTGAATGCATCGGCGCAAACAGATTTCAATAAATTATTGCAAATCATAATAAATATGATGTAAATCGTCTACATTCATGTAATGCCATGGTCGAGAATGGTAACTGATGAGTGGAGAATGGTCTGTTAATTTGAAGGGGCCGAGAGATAACGTATTCGGTGGTTACATGGTGTTAGGTGGCTATGACGACGAGAAATGCGGTTCTATAATGGGATATAAGGACCTATCAATGGCGAGCTATTGGCAATTCCAAATGGAAAAAGTAGCTGTACACAATTTCAACAGCGAGTTGGGTTGGAATGTGATCGCTGATACGGGCACTTCCTTCATTATAGGACCGTCGTACGTAATTCGTAAAATGACTGATGCTATTGGTGGAGCGGTTAGTAACGAGCAAACAATTCATATCAGATCGTTTCTGCATTTGATCACAATTCTGTCGTTTGACGCAGTAATGTATTTGATCACAGTTGAATATTTTATCGTTTGATGCAGTAATTGAAGAAGCTTTGATGAGGTGGAAGAATTGTGCTTGCAGAATGTTCGATATGACAGTGATAATGATATCTACACTGTTAGCTGTTATTATGCAAACAGATTACCACAAATTCACTTCTCTGTTGGTGGTATGTCAATCGTGATCCACTCGCAAAATTACGTTGTTCGTTTCCAAACGGTAATTGATCTCACTACGAATTGCTTTTGAGTTTCGTTCTTATTCACCTGCACTTGTAAGGAAATTTATTGAACCATAAGGAAAGTTTTGGTTGCTGCCAAAAATATAAAAATAGACGGTCGTGGTGCTTGCTCGGTTATCTGTCAGTCGTTTTATGACTGATTAAAGTTGATAAGTAAATTGAGCAATTGTATAAATGAGGATCGAAATCAGAAATCTGAAGCTTTTGATTATGTTCCAGACGTCCGGCGCTGATGTTTGCGTACTTGCGCTTGGTGAAATGGACACAGGTGGTTTTGATCCAACGTGGATACTTGGTGATCCACTTTACCGCGAACAATGTGTCATTCATGATGCTGGCCAGCAAAGAATCGGATTTGCACCTTTCAAATAACCGTAATTGTTATAGCGTATATTGATAATCCACAATATTTTTCGATGGACATATAAGGACTGTACAATGCAGTATTTTATATGTACGCATTATGTGCAGTCATATTTTTGTTACTGTGTTTACCACATTCAAGATCTACTGATTCACCAAATTTTACCGTTTAGGTCAGTTGGTATTTTATCGTCTTACAATTGAAATGGTATTCTGTTTCACATCTGAAACATATTTATTATTCATCTAAGATATGTTCAAATAAACTTCTTATTTCATCATCTTGACACGTTGTTCAATGACATTTTCGATAAGTGGCCAACGAGATGGTCAACTTAGAAAATCCATCGGAACTATTGGCGCAGTTCATCCACTCAAACTGGACGCAACGTGGGAGTTACACAATCTCAACTAGTTACACAATCAGAACCTTGAGAGGACGAAAATATGTCCAGATTCCTCGAGGCATTCGGGCGCTTTCCACAGGCTACCGACAACCTACTTCAGCATCAAATATTTGTGGTTCAGCCTAGAGAATATCTTATTTTGCTGTTACATAAGCACTACTGCTAGTGAACCAACACATAATCGCGAAATACTGTTTATATGCAAGCAAATGTTCTCACAAAAACTCGCATGTGATGCTGCAAAAAATACGAAAAATCAAATTGATAAAAACATCAGATCTAGTGAAGACATGAAAACATTTGATTTGCTGCGTAGAAATTGTTTCCATACGGGAAATCTTTGGATCTAAACATGTGAGGGGAGGAGGAATTTGCTTGACGCAAAATATGAGGACAGTCTTTCCGATTGCCAAACATTGCATCAATTGTTCGCAAAAATAAACATTAAATGAACAGTATAATGTTTGTTATGAAAACGACGATTAAGATAGGGTTGGGATCCTTCAGTCCTCCTCCGAGAAATCTGAGGCCGGAGCACCGTTTTATGAGATTCTCCTCTACCCTAGTCTTCCTTACCCATTTGCGGTGTTCCTGCGCCTGCGGGTTTCTCTTATAATTGTTGATCGTTGAAATGGAAGCGAATATGATAACAAACTGCTGTTACATATTGATTGATATGTTTAATTAGGAGTGATCATTTTGATGTGATTCATTTGAGAATTTTCATGTCGAAATGATTTCTACTTTGATAATACGCAAATTGTTTGCTTGTTTGCTGATGCACAAAATTATTGTGCTGAGCGCATCATTCCACGACATAGATTTCACTCTTCGTTATCAGTAAAGCAATTCATCGTATCAAAGGAATGATATCAAATTTTGTCAACGAAAAGATGTTTTGATGATATATTTACGATGAGAATGAAGTTTGTTTTCCCGACACCCTGGTGAAAGGCTGAAAGATGCTGCAAATTATGGTGGAACAGTGTGCATAGAATTCAAATTCACATTTCATTGATTCAATCTAAACTTCGTGTATAGTACATACTACCGCATAATTCAACGCAAAATGTTTTTTGCTGCTAACCAACCAGTAAAAAATTAATCACGATGATATTACATTGGGCACGAATTCGCAGTATATTCGTACCTTACAATCTACATGCTCACTGAATACTTATTGTCAGTCATTGTATGCATACCAGTGCATCACAGTATATCGTATCAGTCTTTCAGATCTCTCTAGGAATTGCTTTCTGTCTCATCATAAGATATATTGTTGATCGTGGCATGTTACTCACTGTCTTCAATACTTCTTACCATTGCAGGGTTGTTCAGAAACTGATCAATGTTCAAGACTCGATGTCGATTATTCCTTTGACGATGTCCTTGCCGAGGTAGGGAATATTTGAATAACTGATGATGAATGAATAAATTTGAATACTTTGGAGTTGATCAATTTATTGCCTCACCGATTTTCACTCCGAAACTTCATTGCTAGCATTTCACTAACCATTCAACAGGCTTTGCGGTGGGTGAGATGACACAGAGCTCGTCATCCGATAAGGGAGGAGCGATGCGCAGGGCCGGAAGTTCACCGAATTTTGAAATCGCGCTGACACCCCCGTATCGTTTGAATTATATTTGTTCATTTGTTTGCTATGACCTGCAATAGGTTAAATGCATCGTGCACATTCATCATCATCGCGCCTGACCACAAAACATCCTTCTTGTGTTTATTTTCGAGGCGATGGACGCTGTAGAAATTAACTGAAGTTGTAATTCCTCAACACAACAATGCTCCCAAAAAAACGTTCGTTGATGATGTTCAAAATCGCTGCTGACATTCGAATTAGAAACAGTATTATCATGCTGGCGATTTGATGAACAATCTCATCTCACACTAATTCTCAAATTGCATCTTTTGCAGTCGTTACTTTCAAATGAGCAGCAATTGATTGTATTTCTCTCTGCTAATGCCGTAATAAGTGCTCAATTCCACTTGTTTAGATGGATCGTGTTTTCGTCAGAAGATAGCTATTCGCGACCACAGTACGCTATCGTCACTATCAAGAATGTCGAGTCATTTCCGGTCGTGTATAGAATTCGAACGAAGGTATTTATGGGCAAATTCAAAAACAGTTTGCATTTTCCGTTCTTTTCATTAACATCATGAGTAGTTCAAGCCGTGAAATTGTCACATTATCACTCCATGGCATGCTTATGATTATGCAGCACTGTACCACCACCATTTCAAATACATTTCAAAATGCAGTCAAAGGTAACACACATCTGCATTATACCTGTCAAATCAGCACCAAACAAACTCAGTGAGTTGCACAACTTAGTCTGTCGACATCTCAACAATTTGTCATTGAAAATAATGAAAGTGAAAGACCGATGCCTATATGATTCAGGATCGTTCATTTCCAAGATTTTCTCGTTGTCATGGCTATTTGAGTAAGGGAGCAAGCGAGGAGATAACCATCATGATACCATCCTCTGAGCACTGGCCTCGAGATCCAATTGAATTCGCTGGTAAACACCACAAAATCCTCGTCGAAAATCTCACGGTTCCTCAGCACACTGCAGCACCTACTAATACCAGAGTGAGTATTGACTTTCAACAATGTTTGGTGCATTGGATGGTCACTCTAGCGCGAAAAGCTGGAAGTGCGATAGAAGATAGAACGTAGGTACATTTAAATGACTGATGCGGTGGGTTGGTGATTTGCCGGTGTGGATACAGTGCTTGAGGAAATCCGAAGAGTTTGGTGGGCGTGTGTTCGATTCAAAACCTTACTTAGTTGATTTTTGGTACCATTGTGAAAATACTTTGAAAAACTTGGTGGAAAATGAAGAAGAATCAGTTGCGAAACGTATGATTTGAACTCAATTTCGGTTGCTGCTCTGATTTGTGATCATTTAGCTATCAAACCATCGCAAAACAAACATTATCACTCATCGTCAAGAAATTCCACTTCGAAATTCGACCATCCATACATGAAGCACGTTCACTCATCCATCTCATTTCACAACAACGTCAACTTTCAGAGTGCCTCAGCGTTATCTCGAAGAATCTTCAAATCAACGCCACCTTTAACGAGAATGTATTGTAAATTGAACTTTATTCTACCCAGACTAATGAACATACCTGAGGCTGATTCAGCAGCGATTGCTTGAATGCTCCAAAGTTCAGTGCTGTTCGAAATGACGGCAGTGAATCTTTCCTATTCATAGTTACTCGTCTACCGATCTGCCTTGACTGAAATTCTTGTAATTGCCGTTTGCTGGCCAGATAATGGAGTTATGATTTTGATAAGCACGCAATCAATATTAATAATCTATTGCGTCCAGTAAAATGTCGAGAAATTATTCAGTTAAGTACTCTCCATTCACAACGTATTGCTCAAAAGTTGGTGAATTACTGTTAGTGATTAATTGAGGTGTATGCAAGTTTTTGAATAGTTGTTGATGTTTCGAAAACATGATCGGTGGATAAATTTCTTCAGTTTGCGTTTCGAAATAACATTTGTGGTGAATATTTATTCAAGTTCAGAAGCAATGAGAATAGAGAAAAATATACTGTTTAATTTCAAATGACAGTGACATTCAAACGATATCGATCAAAATTTTAGTTAAATGTTCTGCAATCCCATAATGTTCTTGTTCTGAGTTGGATTGCGACGCTGATTTCAATGAATGAATATTCACATTGTTATCATCGCTATAATTGAACGGTTTTATGCAACAAAAATAGATTTGAATATTGTCGATGATAAGGTAGAATGTTTGTTTGCTTTCGAGCAAATAAATACCTTGAACATTGCATGTTCATCGGTAGGTGAATGGAGAAGGGGAATGCTTCGGTTGTGAAGCATAATACATTTTGAGGGAGTTATGATCAAATAAGCAACGGGAAGCAAGTACAAAGTTATTGGTGTATAAAATGCTGAAAAGGTAAACTACTGATCATTCGACGATTACAAATGACACCGAACCGTGAAATATTCATTGCATTGCTATTAACTTGTGCACGCGTTTTTATCATCAACGCACAGATTTTCCGTACTCCATTCACATACCTCCATGCAGCAGCAGCAGCAGAAATTCTGCCGGAATATTCGCACCAAGATGTGATGAGTGCACAGAATGGTCAACTAACTCAACAACAAGTGGTAATTCATGATTGATTATATCCTAGCTTATCATTGCATGTTCATCGGTATTGTTTGCTTCCGTGTTCCACGTTAACAATTGTTCTAGAAACACTCATGTTTCAATATAATGATTGCGATTGATTCACTTCCGCCGTCAGCAAACAAGAGACACATTGACGTTGTTCTGAATGAAAATTGTACAAGAAAGCATCGGATTAATTTGCGACAATATAACGAGTGGATAAAATTATTATTAAAAAGATACGTCGTCGCATTTCATAGAGTAGAAGCTTTCTTTGAATGTAATTCTTCGTGGCAGTGTTGAAGCAGATTTCGTCTCCGGCAATAAAATCCCTAAGCAAATACATACAGGCTACTCTTGACTGAAATGAAGCCTTCTCATGGTCTAGTGGAAGAGACAGTTCTTATGCACAGAGAGAGATAAGGTTGACGCATTTACATATGGCACATTAAATGCTCTTTAAATGATGCATTACGCCACCGGTCATAATGAACAACATTATGGTGTCACCTCTTCTGATAATTGATTTTGCTTCTCAACGATTTGCAAAATAAAAGAGATGATGCTTTCAGTTGAACAATTATGGAAATACTGTAATAGTTGCTAATATAACGATCGGTACCGATCCATCTCAAACGTTCTTGCTTGTGGTCGACACAGGTGCGGCTGATACGACTGTAGCTGACATCACGTGCCAGTCGAAAGCATGTCATCGTAAACGTCGCTTCAATTCGACCCTATCGAAGACCTATAGTACCGATCACCTAGCATGGAAAACAAAGTATCAGAATGGTGGTTCCTTAAAAGGTTTCGTTGGACAAGATGTTTTTACGGTTGGTTTGGATAACAACTTTTTCATTCGTTGTAAACGGCGCCTCTAGCTATTTATTCAGCTTATGAAGTGGTCAAAATGTGAGTGGAATAGTGAGGAATGATAACTATTACAGCTACGTGGTAGTGGACAGTCGCAGATACGAATTGAAAAGCAACTTTTCGCGCAGATCACTGAATGGAACCATGATGAAAAAGCTCCAGCCGACGGCACACTTGGACTTGCTTATCGAGCCAAGGCACAATACCATAATCCGACGCCAATGGACAATATGGCCAGTCAACTTGCTGAATCCATCTTCACTATTTGGATACCTAGAAAGGTTTGTTTGAATGTCTTGAGTGGATTAAACGTCTCATGATTCTGTTTCGACTTGTTCATATAACCGTTCATTACTAATCAAATTCCTGTTACATGCATGTACACTGAACTATTTTGCAATCGTTAATTGTTGGTGGTATTATCAGTCAAATAGTCAGTTACATCAGACCAACGAAACATTCTCCATCAACTAAACATGGGTACAAATGAATGTGTTGCATTGTGACTTTGAATCGATTAAGAACTTTAAATAACATGGATCATTGTGACGCTCAACGACAGAATTCAAGGGTACCTCAGCCGAAGGATCGTCAGATGGATTGATAACGCATGGTGGTTTGGATTTGGATCATTGCGGAAAGATGATAGGCTATCGATATTTGAGTTCAGCACGACATTGGCAGTTTCGAATGGATTCGGTGAGCGTTGGATCGTACACAAATCAGAAGGGATGGGAAGTGGCTTCAGAAACGGGTTATGCGTTCATTGGAGTCCCGAAATATGTCATGAATCATATTGTCAAAGAACTCAATCTCGCGGTATTCTCAGTTATTCAACTCACGCGTTTTGCATGCAATATCAGGCATTTTCTGCTGCACCGCTACATGAAGATATTGTTTGCACCAAGAAACTGTGCATTCACAAGACGAAAACTACTTCAGTGAATAGAAAAAACTTACAATCAGTACTCACAAAATACCTCACGATCAGTGATTATGATGCAAAGATCACGCAAATTTACGTTTCGCTTCGATCTTAACGCATGATGTCGCATTCTTAACTGTTTTTCAAATGTTTTCATGAAAAACTGAATATGCCAGAATGAACCACTAAACGTTTGACTGAATGACAATAAATTACCGAATGAGTGATTGTTTTCAGCCTGCGATGGTAAACAACGCATACTTTACGAATTGTAAGCAGCTACCATCATTACCAACTCTGAAGTTTGGGATTGGCTCCAACATTTACGAAATGGATACGAACACTCTATTTCATCAGGTAACTCCTACTCCTAAGTTTCAACCCTAATACCATGTATTATAGTTGCGCAAATTTACATTGTATTTTCAGTATGTTGCATCGTTTTGAAATCAGTTGTGTTTCGTTTGATTGACTGAATTTGCAGCGTAGCGGTATGTGTCTCAGTGTGTTGATGGCGATTGAGTCGTTTGGTTACGGTAATGAAGCAACATGGGCTCTCGGCGTTCCTTTTGCGTTCAACTTCTGTCAGACGTTCGATTTCGGCAAGCAAAGGATCGGTTTTGCTTATCCCAAGAAATGATCACTTACATTGATATAATTGAAAGTTTTCGTTGCTATGCAATTCACCATTGTTCGAATGAAATTTATCAGTCAGTGCAAATCACCTGATAAGATACTCTTTTCACTAGTCGCAGGTCGTGTTTGCAGTCAAGAGAATCATTCCGTAATCACTTTATCTTATCAGATTGTTTGTTTTGCTTAGTTTTTGATGCGCAGTACAAATATGGTGACAATAAAAGAATTACCAATCAAAACAGCCAATGTCGAACATCGGAACATTATAAAATCTGTCGAAGATTTTCTTCATTGCGTTCAGGACTTTCGAACTGTATATTGATTCTGTCGCAACATGTGCAGCACCACAAAAGCATACACCGAGCTGTGAAATTCGCTTGTGATTCGTTAATATTGAACTAAGTCAAGCCAGTTCTCTTGCACTGCATGATAAACACGTTCGTTACGCCTAAGCAGGACAACGAATGTTGCACGATCAAAATTTGCGTTAATGAGATCAAGTGATCACGATGAAGTTCACTTCGTTCAATGCCTTTCTAGGTTGCTTTCACTGAAGGAAACAAAGCGAGCCAGCACTCAATGTAGTTCAAAATGATGAAAAGACGCTAAGATAACGTACAACTAACTGATTCTCAGTTTAACTGATTCTTCCATAATCCATAAACCCAATGAATATCAGTACCACATCATTATCGTCTAATTATCGAAACATTCAATATCATACCAGTATATTATCCACTCATCAATATTCTTTTTGCACTGTCACACTTCATTGGCACTATTGTATGTTGTGAAAATATTGTCCATAGGATATTTTTCATTGAAGCGGCAGTTGTATCAGTTATCAGCACTCCCACCAACTTATCATAAAGTTATAAGTTATGGCCAACGATCATCACACTACGAAAACAGGGTACACCCATTCTGAGGATTTGAACGCTATTTGCTAGAATACTCGTGTTTACTATAGCAATTTGCGCGTTTGCTGAGGAGTTATGCAATTGATCGCGCTTGTAGTGCTTTTGAATGGCATTTCTGCGGAAGTGATTCGTTATCCGCTGAGAGAGATTGACAGTGTTCGCGTTCAATTAATGCGATCTGGCGAGTGGCATCAACGACTTAAGGCAAAAGAAATTCTTAGAACGACACCAATCTCGCACGATATCGTTCGACAAAGTGTAATGATCATTTTTTGTTTATAGCAAGTTATTTGTTATTTATCTATTTGTTCATAGCATAAGTGAAAGGCAGCTAGCAATTAAATCACAAATATCGCAATTCTTTTGATGAGCACAATGAGTTTTTGGTGTTACGTTCTTTTGCAATAATGCTCTTTTCGTCACCAAACTGTTGAGTGATGACTGATGGCAAACGAAACTGCGAAATGTTCGAAGAGAACAGAGCACTTGTCTTCAGTGAAATAAAGATTCCAGAGAGTTGGCAAGCGAACGTGTTTGGTATTACTTGCTCTTGGAAGTGACCGTACTAGAAAAACCATTTACAGATGAATGATTATGATGATTTGGAATATTTTGGCGTTATTGCAATTGGAACACCAGATCCTCAGCCCTTCATAGTGATCCCCGATACGGGCTCGTCAAAACTTTGGATTCCAGACGTGTCATGTGACACCGCCTATTGCGCTAAGAAGCACCTATTCAACCAATCTCTGTCGCAGACATACGTTGCCGATGAACGAATTTGGGCGATTGGCTACGGAGATGGTTCTGGTGCATTCGGTGTAACCGGTCGAGATACCATCACGGTATTGTTCTCTTCCATAATCGAATTGCTTAACGATAAGACGGTCCATTTCTGCACAGCATCATTCGTATGGTAGATAGAATCAGTACACAGCAAAGAAGTTTACTCAATTAGCTTTCGTCGGTTGTTGAATGTAAATATCGGAATAAATCAATTTTCTCTGATGTGCCTATTGCTTAACTATTTTAATGATTTATCGCTTAGCTTGGTGACGCGGACGGGGAGCATATTCGTGTTCATAATCAGACGTTCGGGCAAGCAATTATTTTGATCGGTTTTACAGCGGAACCAATCGATGGGATTGTTGGTTTGGCATTCGCTGAATTAGGTCACGACGGTGATATACCACTGGTTATTAATGCCGTTAATCAGGGTCTACTAGACGAACCTATTTTTACGGTTTGGATGCAACATCGCGTAAGGATTCGTTACTTTTTCAGCAATGAATTCGTTCAATTTTCTCTTCTTGTTCAATATCTCAATGCCATATTTCATAAAAGAACGCATTCTAATGGATGTTATTTTCGAACATGTTGATTGTGAAATCAGCAGATCACATGTAAATGTAAGCACTACTATCAACGTTCACTGATGAAAATTTTCCAGCTGTCCAATGAGACCTTATTCGGTGGTCAAATAACGTACGGTGGTTTTGATCGAGTGAACTGTGGTGAATTGATTGCTTACGAGAATCTCACAAGTGCAACATTTTGGCAGTTCAGAATGAGGCGAATTGCATCTGGAAATTATTCGAATGCGAACGGATGGGAGGTTATCTCCGATACTGGTACTTCTTTCATTGGAGGACCAACAAATGTGATCAAGAAGTTAGCTGATGAGATCAATGGGACGGTTAGCAACTATTATGATTACACTATTCCAGTTGTAACCTCCCATAGGAATGTTTAAAACAATTGGTGTGGTGAATTACGTGAATTCAATAAAAATCCAATGATTATCGGATTCGATTCATCTCCGTGACCAGAGTTCTGAGCAATCAATCATTTACCTGATGCTAAAGTTGCAGTATGATCAGCTGAATGATGTTTACATGGTGGACTGTGACGCAAAATCGGACGGAATATCTTTGCAAATTGGATCGATCGATTATTTCATTGATTTATCAAACTTAATCATTAAGGTGTGCATTTTGCTTGATTATCAACGCAGCCGTCGTTATTTATGGTTTTTTAGGGATCAACTTCTCAGAGAACTTCATTCAGTTTCCTGAACCTCTAAACCAACTTTTTCGGAGAGCAAAACAACATTTCAGCAGTGAGTTTAAGGGTTATTGCTACGTTCGAGGTTCGAAACGAAATTTTTCGTTGCAATGATACCAGACAAATCACAAGTGTATAGAGCTGGATTCCCCATACGGAGGACAATTACCTATTTTTAGATAAATCGAGATGCCAAGGGGGTCACGGAGGGGACCGGAAAATTAGTTCTGACGTAATGCGTGGAAACAGTAAATTACTGTAGCGGGAGGGGAGGAAGGGGGGGAGGGGAGGGAGGTTAATGACCACCTGCTAAAGCACCTAAGGAAGTAATGGAGCACTTGAGCCTGGGAACCACTGGTATAGAGCATTGTCGCCAGATTTTTCGAATGCATCCAATTATAAGAATAAAGTAATCAAGAGTGCTGAAGTGCAGCTTCCTCCAATAATGATCGAGATGAACCGACTGAACCAAGCAGTGAATCAGTAGCATGAATAAAGGCATTTACTGCTGTTGTTACCTCAGGGAGCGACCCTCTTTACTGAAAATCAGCTTCATTAAATTCAGTTCAAAAAAGATTTCATGGGGAATGTTTCAGGTTGACGAAGAATTTTGTATACTGTCATTATTCGGGTTCGAATTTGACGGGTATGGTCCATCATGGATTCTCGGTGATCCCTTCATACGACAGTATTGTCATATTCATGATGTATCAAATAAAAGAATCGGATTTGCTGAATCAATCAACGACTACTCAACGAATGCGAACGCGAATTTCACTCTGTTCGATTATTGAAATTATTCAGCATTACAAGAACAAATGCAGTTGTAAATCCATCCAACTGTCGTCTACCTTCAATAAAAGTTCATGTGAATATTCATTCAAGCGCTCATGTTCAACTATTAATGAGAGAACCTTGACATGGGATGCGGTCGGTTATACTGTTTAATCATGACATATTTCCTCCATAACTTGTGAGCTTTCGCGTTCAGAGAATGGATCATAAAATTTGGACGTCAAAACTCGCCAAAATGCATCAGATTTGTCTTCATGTTGATAAAATGCATAACATGAAAAATTTTATTTCAGCTGATGAAATTGTTCTTTAATGATAAGATCGTACGTTCAATTTGGTTTCATTAGATGCAAATTTTCATGAACACTTGAATATTATTTGAAACAACTCACCGACTAACGCAAAACGATTAAATGCGTCTTGAAAAATTCAAACGAATTGATGAACCAACGATAAAAATATCATTGATATTAATTTTGTTATCACTTTCAAATTCAACATAATTGTCAATCCGTCAAAGAAAACATCAACGATTTCTGTTATCCATTTTTGAAACCGCACCCTACTATGCAAATTAATATCAAAAACAACATGCAAAAAGTGTACAAAGTCTTAAACGAATTTATTCGTGCTATTATATGCTTCCTAAAAGGTGCACATTTTCTTTTTTTGTAAATATCAAAATGCTGAATTGACATCTTATAGATGGTTCTCGTAGGGGGTGAAATTACCTATTTTGGGTAATTTGGAGATGTCAAAGGGTAATGGAGAGGGTCGGAAAATTATTATTTTGAGCAAATGTTATTTTATTATGGGACGCCATTGTGATGGTGTTTTTAACACGGGTATGTAAATGTGGTTAGCTGATGGCAACACTCTTCATTCTCCAATTTTCTGACTGTCATTAGCTCGTCCGGGTTTTCATTCTTCTCCTTGCTGTTGCAATCGCTCTCATAACTTTTATCACCAAAACCGTTCTCATCTGCTATTTTCTCATTCATTTCACTCAACGGTTTACGTCAAACTCTCATTCTATACAACGCATCTATAATAGATTATTTGACTGCTGAACGTTGTTGAGCAATTCAATTGGATTGCTGTATTGCTGATTTTGGCTGTCAACAGGGGCCACTAAATAGTGTATTTTACAGAATAAGAAGCTGTGAAGTGAAATGAGACGAAGTGAATGAGAAAAACTCATCAAGAGAACGATATTCGCATGTAATAGCTATGAGAGTGAATACAACACGTCTGAAAAGAATGAGAATCCATCTAAATCAGTTTGAAGTGAGTGTATCAAAGACAATAGCCTTTCATGCAATCATAGTTGATTACAATAATGAGGAATAAAACGGTCTAACAATAAGGGAAGACCTAGCGATGTCGATTACCATCATGGAAGTGCTAACAAGACTCAACGCAACGGTTATCTGAACAGCTGATAGTTTGAAAAAAGCAGCGAAAAGTCAGAAGTCGTTTGCAAGACAACTGAAGATGCAAATTTCGATTAAAAAGCCCAACAATACCTTTGATAAAAACAATATTTACAGAAATTCGAAGAAATAATGAATATTATTGAGCAGGCGTGAAGAGAAAGCCGATCGTACAGTACAAAAATCCATAATCATGAAAAATCATCATGCGATCACAAATTTAAAAAAAACGGCAAGAAAAAATGAAATAAGGAATGTAAATAAATAAATGATGAAACGTCATAAAAAAGAGGAACACCGAATAAGTGTCAGAAACTACTTGAAAACAGCGAATTATGTCTCAGGGAGGTTTCTTGTGAAAGAGCATACAGAAAAGATACTGAAAGTTATCGTTACACAATAAAGATGATGAATCAAAAAAATGAGTGAGTGCATTTCACGTCGATATTCAAACGTCTTCCAATACCACTTCTGTAATTTAACGACGTGCTCGCATAACGACCGCAAAATTTCTCGGATCCATGCAAAAGCAACGAAAGTGTGCTGTTCGGTAGAGTCATCCGACCATATACTTCATCAATTCGTTTCCCGTATATTGCTGCCAACTTGTCTAACTGCTCAATGCTTTCCACTCTGCACAAATCACAGTCGATAAGCAACCTAATCACACGAAATTTTCGTAACGCATCTAAAATAAGACGATGATCCTACAAGATGAACTGGTATGATGTTCTTGATTACAAACAATTGCAGACTTTTCTCTCGCTACTGTTATCGGCTTCGTTTGATGCGGGATTAATCTTTTTTTTCTGACAGTACCTGCTTACTTCATTCAACAATAACTTCTCATGAAAAGTTTGCATTTTCTAATCATAACATTCAGAAGTTTGCATCCTGTTAGAAATAGTCCATATTTCGAGTTAGCCATCAAAAAATTTATTCACTGTCGTTTCGCTAACTATAAACTCATCATCGCCGTCCCATAGTCCCGTAAACAATACATTGTGAAGCAACAAATGATCGCGATAAATCTAACCCAAAATGCACATTGGTAGCCACTTGTCGATATCGCAAACAAGACTGCTAACATCGCTGCACTTGAAAACATGAAATTGCGCTGTGATGCTTCTGCCGTAACACTGTCGTACCAACTGTACGAAGTCATCGCGAAGCATTGTGAATGGCAAGGTGAGCAACTGAATTAAATGCCAGAGTGATAGGATGCCTTCATGCGTAGTATGAGGCAATATTGGAGGAGGTAAGTGATTAATGGTATGGCATGTTCGCTCAATTGGATAAATGGTATTTGAGGATAATGATTTGCTAGCATTTGAAGTATTTTTCATTCGTTTTAAAAAGATAGTCACTATTTTGGTTTTGTGATTTTAAGCGCTTTTCAGCCATACCAGATCAGATGCCCTCTCGTTGATAAAAACGGCTAATTCACAGATTTCATCGAAACAATTTTCCACATCATCTGATCGCACTTCGTCAAGTTTATCACCTAAGCACACCTGAAAGGATATTCACAACAACCGCACATTGAGAAAGCATTGCATCATTGAATAATGACAGCTATTGGTTCGCATTTAGAGAAAGTCTGTATCAAACATTTATCGCTGATTCTGTTCATGAGGCAGTATCTGATAGGAGTGAGTTTACATGACTTCGAATAGCTCTAAATGGCTGTTCATCAGCAAACTAGCAGGAACGCAGTATGAGATAATCTGGTGGCATCATGTCCATACTATTAGCATGCCAACTTTTCACACAAAAGTCCAGAATGTTTCAAAAAATTTGCTGGAACAAAACCACTGCGATCTGAAAACATCAAATGTCTTCGCTCAAAATTCTCTCACTGACGAATTATTCGTTTGTGTGATCGAAGTGCGTAATACCATTAATGGTGAAAAACTATTACATGAAGTTTGTGAGATGATTTTGAAAAAATCTTCAACAGGGAATGAAGCTGCGGTGAACAACTGGGACACCTGAAATGCACTTAGTTCTCAGCATAAACTCAGATAAATTCGTATAAATGCTTGAAAACTACTCATATCGATGAATTATCAAAAAATTTTCGTCATATTATCACCATACTATCAACATCATTTACCACGAAAAAACCCCTTCAACATCATGTTTTTGAGAGTGAACGTGTGTTGAACACGAGATTCATTTCTGCGAAATGTGTGTCTAAAACGCATCAATGGTAAAGGAAGAAATTTAAGAAACGAACAAGAGTATTATCAAAGACATGATTTTTTCTGTTATCAAACATGTTCAGAAAAAAATTTTTGGAACTGAAGCGAGACGTTACTAGAAGTGGGGATGACGTGTATCTAATTTGTATTGCCGATATCAGGTAACATCGGCTGCTTGATTTCGCTTCATAATTTCGTCTAACCTTACAAACACATCATCAACGCTCCATAAGGCTGCCCGGTATTTTAGGAAACGCGTTGGTGCGCCTAAATGATGAGCATTTTCGAAGTTGAGTTGGAGCTTGTCGATTTTCGTTATATGGTCGATGAATGAAATCAATGACTCATGTGGCAGACGATCGCTGCACTGCTCATCAACTTCATGAGTATATTTCAACGCGAACGAAAGGGAACGATCACCTGAAAATGCACTGATGACTCGATGATCAAATCGCACATATATGTTGGTAAATAGCGAAATTCCAATCACCCAAATAACGAAATAGCCAAAACGAATGTCGATGATAATCACTGGAATTATGTGGGTTTGATTTGTTTTGCCTTGAAAATTTACCGATCGATCACATCAGAAGTAACCTGAAGAATTCACGGTTTGTAAGTTGAAACGAAACTAAAACACTCACACTGTTCAAAAGCACTGAATTGAGCTGCTTCCTCGGTGATTATCAACGTTGAGATGTGAAACTGACCGAGTGGTCCCTTACGAAGAATACTGTTCCACAATGTTGAAACTTTGCGCAATCTTTCACAATCCCTTACCGGAAATTCCTTCAGTACATAGTTCAGCAAGTGTCTTGTCATTGGCTCAGGCAGAAGTGACATTCTAAATTCTCTCGTTATGTTAGCCGAAGTTGTCAAATTTTTCGGTTAGAGTCGAGAAATGCATGAATTTCAATTATAAAAACCAAACAAACTGAAGAATAAGTGGAGAAACGACTATTTTATGTTGTGAACAAAAGTAACTTTTTAGATGATAAATCAGTTTTATCCCTCAAAAAGATTATTTGCTCATCGAGGATGATCACTTTATTTAAAAAAAATGCACCAAATAAAACTAAGCAGATGAATTAATCGAAAAAGCAAGATTGGATGGATATAAGATGATGGATGATTTGTTGAGTTCTATCTTGGCAAGTGATAGACGCAAGGTATCTCATTTCCCTTTTGAAGGTCAATCAATCACCAAAGATATACTCAATGCATGTAAACAGATGTTTTCTGTCGACCTTCGTCTGTCAACGTTTCGCATTCTTCAATTCGTAATGAACAGCAATAATAATAATATTTATAATATTGTTAGGAGAGATACATTTAGGCAAATGGGTAATCATTATTGGAGCTGAACATTGTCAGTATGAATGATGCTCTGGTGTTAGCTTCTTTCATTGAAGTGGAATTATGATGATAGAATCGGAAACTCAAGTTAATCACGATGCCTAGGTCTTGGACGAATGAAGAAGGAGCTAATTGTTCGTTTTGTATTCTCAGGGGATTGTTAGGATTGTTCTCATAATGCCGAAATCTGCGATATAGATGTTTTTGTGATAGTTGAAGACGTTCTGATTCAAAAACTGCTAAAATATCTTCGTTGTCGAGCATGAGCATGTAGGTAAATTGAAAATGATACCACCAATTGTCATCTGATAGTGTGTTATTAGTACTCGCACGGATCTTATTCAGAGCGTAACACTGTAAAATGAATTAGGCAAATGGATAATAGCGTAGTTGTAATTCCGTCTTCGTACTAATGTAACTACTCATGGATTTATTCAAAAAATAAATACAGGTAAAGCAGCCTCAATTTTGATAATGCCCTAATTTTGGGTTCGGTGGGATCCCGAACGAATGCAAAAATCGTTCCTTTACCATCACTAATCAAATTCAAAATTTAAATCTTAACACTAACTAAAAGCTGATCAGAACTAATGCAGCAGATCATTTGCTAACGTCATCAAAACAAACTAACTAACTCTTCATTGTTTCGCCTTCAAAGTCGAAAACATTTTGAATGAGTATCCTCTCAAAAATCAATCCGAATGGATATCTGACAGTCAGCTTTAAAAAATTCGCGAGAAGCAACAGAAATTCTCCAATTCATTTTTTGGTGAAGGCTAACAATGTACTTGTTTTAGGCATCACAACGGTGGTGAATTGCTCGCTAACAGCGACAAGACAATGTGATTGCTGAATATTTGTTCAATTTAAGAAAGAATTTGAGAATTTACACATGGGATCGTCTTGAATTCGCACAGAACTGTATGTCATATTGATCCGATCTGGGAAATGCGATCAAGTCCAGCACAAAACCTTATCATAAATTGCGTCTTTGTTCAGTCGACGAATATCGAGAGATTTGAATCTCCATCTGCGGAGCTACAGCACCATTTCACTGGAAATAGGGCAGGACGGAGAGGCAGAGAGAAGTAGGGATATGGGGTGCGAATGTTTGTCTATAACAAATCAGCAACTTTTTACGCCAGCGAAAGAGAAATTTTTCTTCCACTCTATCGAATCTTCTCACCATTCCCTTACACGTTTCAGTATATCTGGATTTGTTGATAAACAACTTTCTGCATGAGAGATCCTTTGCATGAAACATGTTCAAAAGTTTAAAAAATTTATCGAACAAAATCAAAAGGATTGAGCAAATTGATCAAAAGCATATGACATAACATCTACATTTCATAGCAACACAATTGAGCATCACTCTCAAGCATCATGCTCATACGATCGTAGATTCAACATAACAACTTTCAATTATTTGGAGCGAATGCATTGTGCTCACATTCATTCCAGCTTAATTTCAGTATTTAACCATAAAATCACGATTGCATATCGCGATTCCAAATCCAACCTATAAAAACAAATGCAGTGCAAAAGTTCCACGACTGCAATATCGACTATAGTGGATTGCTTGATATCGCACCTTCCCATTTTCTATCAATCATTTCTCATCATATCAAACGTTAAGTTAGCCACATATTAACACTAATTCATTGATTAATATGATTATGTTTATATGCCTCAATAAACCGTACCATATTCTAATACACATTTCAAAACTTGAATGCGCCATGCTTCTGCCACTTCATCCTAGATTACCTGCATTCAGGGATATCCATCTAGAGCCTGAACTATGCTCCAAACTCAGGACAATGCTGTTTCGTTTCGGGAAATCGCTTATCCATTCTCTGTTTGAATAGCTTCATAGCAGAGTAAAACTGAAATCGTGATCGACGTTGAAGTTTCTTCGTTGCGGGTGCATCCGCTAGTGTTTTAATGCCTCTGTGCACCATGAACACATCGTTGACCAATACAAATGTGTAGTTCTGTCGGCACATCTCCCATCGCTGAAATTCGTTGATCATTGATATCACGTGTTCTAATGCGTATAGTGAATGTTAGCGATAACTGACTTCGCTTTTTATGGTTGATATTCAACAAATTAATGAATTGTCTCGCATCGTCGCTCTTTGTTCTACTATATTTCGAAACTGATACTTTTGTTTGCAAACATGAATTAATATAGTTTAATGTATGTCACTGCTGAAAGCGTCGTCAGTTCGCTCCATACGAATCGGTTCGTACTGATGGATCATTTAATTCATTTCATGACCATGAACCATAGTTCAGTGGGAACGTATACAACGAAGATATGCTAAAATCACAGAAAACTCACCAGTACTGTGTTATCACGTAACGAGAACGGGAAGTTTTCGTCATGCAATGGAATTGTATTCAACGATACAAATTGCGGTTCCCAATCTCGTCGCTTGAAGCTGAAATCGCAGATGAATTTCGTTCAGAGGTATACCTTACCAGCACCTTTAGAACACAAACTAGGTTCGGTAGTAGACTGATCTAGTGGCCTTAAAAACTTCTAGTGAACTTTTTTCATCTGGATGATTACTTCGCAAATACGTATACCTTCACATTCACACTTGGTACAGTAGATAAGATAATGGGCAAAATAGAAACTGACGGTAATGTGTGGCTGACTGAAGCTTTAGTTTCGTTGACCTGATGATTGAACCACTCAATCAGATTGGGTATTTTGTGTGCAGCTGAAGTGAATTTTGCATGAAATTCCACAGCCATACCACTGAAGAAAAGTTTTCGGAGTTCGTTCTTTTCGCGTGGTAATCTGAAGCAAATGAATATTCTTGCTGATCACTTCAGATTTATCGCACAAACACTCACATGACATTGTTGATGGATTTTGACTGAAAAATGAGGGAGATGTACACTCAACACGGTCATTATATCAACTGAATCGTCGTTCAGATGGAGAAGTACTTAATAGAGTTAATGTGAACGGATGCTTTGCTTCGTTCTTGAAGCCATCTTGTTTATTCACCTTTTAATCGTTTCGTTCACCTCGAATATTCGGAATACGAGTGCTGTTTTCGGTTTTCTGATCAGTTCATCATTGGCTAACGCCCGCATTCGACTCTCGAATCCTCGCGATGCAACAAACTCCGAATCAGAAATCAACAAATATTTCGAACGAATCATCTTAAACACACTGAATGATCACAATTTCACAGATGAGTTCTCTTTCAGATCGCAGTCAGCAATTTGACTGGTTATATTGCAACCAGGGTTTAGTTCATTCTTGATTCGAAACTGCGAATAGTTTCAAAAAATTTCGGGCATGCTTCCTAGCTGAATGCGAAGTGTGCGAAATCAACCGTCTAATTGAATGAATCAAGAGCAACATTTGGTGGAGTTGAATGATAAAATGCTCTCAATGAGAACACTACATTCCGTTAGGAACACTGTGAACAGGTACCATTCTGGCAACATTCCTCGCTACGTTCACTGGATAAAAATTTCTTGTGGACTCATCGCTGAGTGACTTTAACAGGTCCATTGTGCAGCCAGTCTTCGAGCGAAACAATATATGAGTGCTCATCTTATCCAGCGCCGCTCCACGCAGTTTCGACAACTGCAATTGCGAAAAATTCTGCGTTATATTCAAATGATTCTCTGCCAACTACTGTTCAACAACTACCAAAAATCGAAATTAATCGTTGATGAGATATCCGACGAAACATAACTTTCACTAGCAACAAATGTATACTTTCACTGGAGACGCCATCTAAAAGCAAACCTTAGACCGAACATTACGAATCCTTGTGAATATCTCAACCGATGGAATGACTACCGCCAATGAAATCGGTCCTTCCCAAGCATCAACCTGAATCACTTCGTTTATTCGCTCCGATTTTCTGAGCACATAAGATAAGATGAAGAAAGGAAACGNCGTATTCACAAAGAACAAAATTGATTTCAAACTCTCGACAAGACTTTGCTACGTATTGTACGACGCCTTTTCACTTTTGTAGCGAAGCTGACCTGTTCAGCGAGTTTATCCTCGATGTAGTCAGCACTCATGTGCAGAACCAATGTGATTCGGTCAAAAATTCCCATTGTGTTCTCTAAGGAACTCTTTGTTATGTACGGTACCACGCAATAGTCGTTGTAGGTGAGGAACCTGAATTCGAACGAGTCGTTTTCGGCGAGATATGTAATGAATGAGACCAGTTGAAAGTTGCAGCAATGATGCTCTAGCACATTTGCCTCATTCTCATGATGCATCATTTCTGCAGGGCCTTATTACTATTATATGAGAAGTGAATTGCTGATAATTTTACATTGAGGTGCAATTCTGCATAAATTCGTCTCTTCATAGTGAAGTAACTAATGGAAGATGATGAATGCATTTAATCTAGCCAGCTCAACAATCAATAATGACCGTCAGTGTCAGCGAACAAGTGCGAATGACAGCAATACTGCTAACTCGATATCGTCGATAGCATTCGAATTGCAGATCGCTGGTCCATCGAGATTACAAATGATTAGAATCGTTGAAATGGTCAGGAATACGGTCACGATAACTGTCAGCAAAGCCTTGGGCATCTCATACGAAAAAGCACCATTTGGACGTTTCATTGAGCGATATTCACTCCACTTATTCACGCCAATCTTCAACGGAAACATGCAATCAGAATATCACTTTCACCTCGATATTTGCATTCCATAAAACTTCACGGCAAAAAGCAATGTCTCAGCTCATTTTCATATGATACAAACTATGCTACTGAATCAAAATTTCACTAGGCTTCGCCGCTTCAATAAATGAAAGAAAGACGGTTGAATCAAAAGGGAATGTGTAATTGCCGTTGAATTTGATGAGAAAAATTAGTGATGATTAGTGGAGAAATTGAAACAAACAGCAATGCATTATTGTAAATGACTGAATAAACTGCAGGGTGAATGTGTCCATTCAAATATATAGAAACATCAGATAAATAAAACAGTTTGCAAGTTCGATAAGTTTTACTGAGTATCAAACAATTTTCGAATTCAGTGATTAATATTTAGCGACTTGATAATACTCTTATTACGATATCATCCTCGTTGCTGTTTTGTTCAGCAGCGAATAATGATATGATAAGAAGAAATGAGACAATGGCAGATAGTGATGATTGCTTGGAAAGCGTATGTTGAATGACGATGATGTTTTAAGATTTCGATTGAATGAGAAAGGATATGAGAGCGAGAGGAGAGTAGAAAGGAGATTTTTATGAGTTGTGCTGGCGTAAATGAGGCGTGATATGGGACGCATTTGATGATCTATGCATCTTCTGAAACATTTCCCAACAAGCCAGAATACAACATTTCAGATCACCTTTACAACGAATAATAATGATTAAATGTGTTGATTGACGGTTATTAAATGCAGCAATTTTCAGTCGCATCTTTTGTGCGAATGTGATTGCGAAAGTACGATTCGACATACAAAAAGCATATGAACTCGTTACTGGTCACAGGAATATGCATGGAAAAAAGTAATGCAGTGTTGGAATGCAGATGTTGGAATGCAGGAATCAATGAAAATCACTCATGGGAATGCTCTGCTCTCATGTTGAATATCGCTGAAACACGAATTCCAACAACAAGAAAATAAACTGGTATTGAAGAGGTTCACTGACCTTGATGATCTAGCACGTTACGGCAACCAGTAAAACTAGCCGAAGCATTCGCTCACCATTAGTTCTACTAATCGTTTACGAGCCAAAATTATTTCGGTATTTTTAAAATTGCAACATGGTTGAGAAATTAATTTAATAACAACGAAACTGTGATGAGTAAGCTAACAATGACTTATGAAACGATTGGACTGTAAATGGGTCAACGGCAACGAATACTCGGACGAGTTCATGAAGAGTTCATGTAAATAATATGTCAAGTATACTTGTTCTGAACAGTATTGCTCCTTCTAAGGACAATCCACTTGTCCCATATATCAATTCAAAAGTTCACTGATACCAATATTGTTCGGTGCACATCAAAATCTCACTTAACCGTTCAACAATTAATCGCTTGAAAGTGCAACATGAAACCGCAAAAAAACCTTGCAGAAACACATTCTACGTGAGAATTAGGAATATTAACAACTGCATTCAGCGCACCAACAGTAAATGACCAACTGATGAACAGTAGTATCCAATCCAAGAACAAAGGCAGTAAAGCGAAATATGATTTCAAAATGACGAAAGTTTTTTCGAGTATCGATTAGGAATGCGACAACAAACAGAATGATTTAGGGATTCATTCGGATAAGATGCGGATATTAAAAGAAGAAAGTGACGTTCCCCAATCATTAATTTCACTTGATGTTCTCGTTATTTTGGTGGAAAATCCTGTCTAGATTACACAACGAAAAGATTCTTCAGAGAAATTTTCACTGAAGGATTCATGATTTTTTTAACGTATTCTCAATGATATACGAAGGAAAGGGAAATCTTTTTGTTTCTTTTGCGAGACTTTGAAACGATGAGAGTGAATCAATAAGAACAAATCAGGAACACTCCAGTGAATTAATCGACAAGCAATTGAGCAATTTTGATGCTAAATTTAGTACCAGTCCATAGTTTACATCAAACGCATTTTCCAAAATGAACGCACCAATTCAATGAACATTTGAAACGAGAACGTCATCGAGTTCGCGTTCTTGACAACTAACAGAATCGTATACTCATTTCAGCGACTATCATCCTAACAAAAAAATCGAAAGTCTTTTCTGAATGTTCTTGAAACTGAATTTTGTCTTTAATCATCGAGTTCAGTTGGCTTAATATGTACAACTACCAGAAAACTGGAAGCTTCCGAAAGTAACAGAATTTTATGGTAATGCTCGCAATTTGATATGAATTGATAGAGAACAGTACGAAACGTGATAACTTAAATAGTGATGCGTGATAACGTTTTACTAACGAATGAATTTCCTGCCTTCAGCATTAAATCTACATGATTTGTCCCCTCATTGTAACTCAACATCTTTTGGATTTCAAAAGTCAGCAATTAAGAGTCGATAATCACACCGTCAATGCAGTGCAGCTAGCGAGCACTATCACCATAACCAAAGAGCGTTAGTTAAACTTCATTGATCAAGATACGGCCTACTGAGGAGTCACGGAGTTGAGAGACCACTGACAACGATGTGATCATTGAAAAAATCAAATTTTGAAAGATGAAAAATGGTAGAAATTAAGATTGATCATGTCGAAGCACTGCATGAGACAGATTCTATGCATATACCAGCAAATGCCCACAAATGTGTTATGCCGAACGCTTCTGTGATAACGTGTGCGTGTGATCAATAAAGACAGACAAACGTGCACCACTCAATTTATCAGTTGGCTAGATTGTTCTGAGCCTCAGAAGATCGAATATAATCAGTTTAATCCATCAGATAACGAATGCAAAAAGACTGTATACTGACGTCGGGTACTGGAAGAAAATCGAAACTGATATTTTGTATGAGCGAAGCAAGTGAAAATTCGGAGAATATCACTTGAAGACGACACCAAAGAGTGTGGTATGCAAAGTATGTTATCCATCAAGGAAAGGTCATAAAGGATGAACGATTTTGCGATCATGTGCAGAAGAAAAAAATTGAACGGAATAAAGGTTGTTGTGATGTGACGATGAACGGATTCATCCGTGGTCATCCATTTAAATAATCGTCTATCACAGAGTGCAAAAACACTTCATTTACTCAACGAAATCAAACTGAGCAACTGAATGCCATCCGCCATTCAACATTATCATTCAACGGTGCTACGAACGAACGACTGTTATTTGGCCTTATGGATCGCGTTAATTTCAATATTTTCTTATATCCTCTCTCCACACCGTGTTAGTTGGGATATTTATTCATTTGTTGTTCTAGTTGAGTAAATCTCACATGAATTATGGGGCTAAAAGCCAATCAGCAATCAGCAAAAGCAGCTCTACTCACTCACGACAACGAACAGGAGCAGCAAAGCGACATCGAAATGGAAGGATGATAATGGTTATACGGATGAAGTGGTAGAAAAATGTTGCAGTGAAGTCATTCGAGGAGTCGAAAAGGTGAGCATTCAATAAATACCAAGTTTTCATTCTGTGAAAAATAACCGAGCCCTTAACGAACACTGCGTGAATTTCACTTAAGCACAAATTATAACCTCATGGTAGTGGTGATGTGAAACCGATGTTCAGTCGGTAAAACTCGACGAAATTCGATTGGATTCCTAAATTTGGATTCCGACCGAGCAATTCCAGAATTGTGTTTCTCGGAGTCTCAAGAAATGAAGTTACTCAAATTCCTGCCAATAATTTCGAAATTCTGTCAAAATACCGATCTTGAAAAGTTGGTTCTGCTGGCACCACTTGAGTGCATTTGCGTTACAGTGTTACACCACCACAAGAGCGCACATTTTATCGTTCTAAGAAAGTGTTATTTTTTGTTTTGCTAACGTGCAATCACGCACGTTATACAATATTCTGCTAGACAATTAGGCAATACGTCACTGATACTCTCTAGAAAAAGAACAGACGATAATAAACACATTTGAGTTACATCGGATAATAACAACAAAAACACGAGTGCATATCCTCCAGTTATATTGCTGGTGCAGTGCTCAGATATGTTTCATAATACATTCCTTGTTGCCTGAACAATATATACTCATCATCATGATACAAGTAAACGTCGACTTACGACGAGAGAGAGTCGCATCGTAGGCACGTTTGATCGCAATATCCCTTTCACAAAAGTGTTGNGCATTCATTTGAAATAGCATACCAAAACATATCTTGCAAGGGATTGTTCATAAATGATATTTTTATAAGATGAATTTGTATTGATACGTAGAATCATGTGGTTTTGATGATAGACTGTTGCTGAACTTCAGAACACGATGGAAAAGTGAATTTGAACGGAATCGGAGTCGTCTCTAGTACAGTGCTTCGAGAGATCATCTCACAATGTTTAGTGTCTTTAAAAATTGTTCACTTGAATCTGATTGTGATCCACTAGTTTTCCATCTCATCAGGGCCCTCTTAGTGAAACCTAACATATCAAGGTCAGATACATCCAGCTCCCAATTCAATGCAAACGAGAACTTCTGTTCAATATCACTGTCATTGCGTCAAGTACTCTTCCACGAACACAGTTTTTTGCCACTGCAGTACAACAGCATCATTTCATAACGGAAATCAGAAGACTCAATAATAACTGCAATACTCAATAAATGCTGTTCACTATGTCGTCAGTCGTTAGTCGGCGATTATCTACATTCTTACGAAATTTTTATGCTAGACTGATCGCTGGAACGCATGTTTTTGACTGCTCATTGTTTGTAAACGTTATGAGAAGAGATGAATTTTGTACGGCTTGAACCAGTGATTCCCAACCTTTTTTCGTCTGCATCCCTTGAAAAACTTTCAGATTACTCGCATTCCCTACAAGATTCACTCCTTATTTTTCATCCACTACAATGAGTGTCTGTAGCGTAGATTAGTGCACACCATCAAAGTACGTTCTAGCGTTTTCAAAAATAAGAACGTTAAAGTCCACCTTCGCTTACTTTATTCACAAGTATGCGTTGAAAGTCGCTTACTTTAACGTATAAAAAAATGTTACTCGCTCCTCC